GTTATTCAGAGAACATCCTGGGGCCCTCCCACCCTCCCGTAGTGTCTGCGCCTATGGAGAGAAGGAGCTGGGAAAGCCCCAGTACAAAAGAGGACAATTTGTGGTTAGAAGACTGCTGTTTAGGTAAATATTGTAGCATGGGCGGGGAGCTGGGATCTTTGTTAGTACAACAAAAACACAAGTGAAAACTTTAATTGAGGGAAAATGCTTGTTTTTCGCAAAGCAAGGTTTTATGTGGTGTCTGCTTACCCTCATTATCTTTAAATGATGGGACTGCTTACACGGCTGAGCTCACATTAACCACTTTCTCCTCCTCACATCATCATCAACATATGGGTCCCATTCACTGGAGCATTAGGGGAAAACATGTACAGCATCATTATGGTAATGGCTCTGCCATGGCACTCAACCGACAGAAGGACATGGATTAAAGGAGGATGGATCATAGGGATGGATGAGAGGAGGGGGGGGGGGGCTTACTGATTCCCATACAGTAAAGATGTCATCTTCTCAGGCTGAAATAAGGACACATGCAAATGACTCAGCTGATGCAGACAGGCTATATGTATTTGCATGTGTTTATTTGGATATCAGACACTACTGAGCATCATCATGGCTGCAATGGTACAAAGGAAGGAGGTCATATATTTTTGTAGATACAGCGTCATAGATGCTGAGGTCATTGATCTTGTCTTGTTCTGGTAGTAATCCCTCGTATTGTTCACTTAACTGTCTGAAAATGCCTAGTGTCAATTTAAATGTATTTAAAGGTGCTGTAACTAAGTGATTGAATGTAACAAAGTATGTATTTAAGTACTGCACTTTTTTGACATACTTGACTAACTTGAACTACGTCTATTTCCTGCTAATCTCTATTCCTCTACATCTCAGAGGATACATTGTACTTTTAATTCGTCTTTATTTATTTGTTAAGCTTCAGAGACTATCTACTTTGCAGATTCAAATCATCAATACATACAACATACCAAATAATGAATTATGTAGGCCTTTTATAATATATATAACTACTCAGCAGTTAAAATTAGCTCAACCTTTAGCAACTTCAATTTCCAAGTAACTAACAAAAATCTTGCATAAATGATTGTGATTATTATTCGGACCTCTACTGATGTATCACGTAGCCCTACTACAGTATGTATTGGATTCGAGTTATGGTTGCTTAACATAAAGTAGTTATATGTCGCCATCTGCTGGATATATTTCCTTCAGGGGAAAACGTGTGGTGACATAATGAAACACTAGGGGCGCTGTGGGTCCGGAGTACGCTACTAACATAGATTCTCATTGTTGTATAATAAGAACATTGTAAGGTTGTAACACGTTATGAAATTGCATCCTGTTTACTTTTGTTAGCTTTGCTCCCAATTTAGCAAATGACGTCACATTGTGAAACTAATGATTTCATTATGCAATCACTTTAGTGTTATTCTGCAATGATCTTACTTTATCTTAACATCCCAGTTGTCAGATTTCCTTAAGAGTTCACTTAAAAACTGAAGTTTATAAGGGTGTAAGGTGAATGGGAACATTTCAGTTCCTTGCTAATTCTGCATTTCATATTGGTTTTGGAACTTTGATACTTCATTCTGTGTAACAGTTTTGGAGGGTTATCAAAGACTAAAGATACTGGGACATAGCTCAAGAAATAACTTTAGTAAATCATTGCTGCAGAATTAAGTTTGGTAGCCTAATACAGTTTAATAATACATACAAATTATTTAACAGAGTTCACCAAATGTTAGGAAATATTGCACCACTACAAAGTGGAAAAAGTAGATTTTTAGTTTTCCATAAGATCAATGTAAAGATTTTGATATCCTTAATTCTGATTTAGTGTCCACAATTATATTTCACCTTAAATTATATTCCCAGTTTATCAATTCAACTTCTAATTATCCAAGCCTTCAAACCTTCCAAATTCCCTCCCATTTTTAAACAATTATTTTGGGATTTTTCAATATTACCCCTCATCACAGACCAACTTATAAGTGTACCACAACACAAGTTTATTCATTCAAACCAGAAAACTAATGAGGGGGAAAAAACAGTAAATGTGAACATATGATTGTGGCACGTAACCTTAGTTTAGTAGATTAAAGCCCAAAGAAAATTATTAGACAAATCGAAAAGGCAATTTTTTTTATTTGACAGTGAAACAGGTAACAACAGCAGCCGTCCTGTTCACAGTCACACCTAAAACTTCTGGAACTGCTTCTTGGCGCCTGCAGCCTTCATCACTTTGAGGACGTTGAACCTCACGGTCTTGCTGAGTGGTCGGCACTCTCCAACGGTGACGTTGTCTCCAACTGAGACGTGTCTGTAGAAAAGCACCAACATAAAGATATTAATAGGTGGTTGGGTTACCTTTTTCCATGAACAAGTCAATAAAGATGTATACATCTTTAAATAGGATGTTCCAATTTAAGTCAGACTGCATCAGTGTTTGCCATAAGGCATTATCGTCACAGCTTCTTGAGCTAGGAAGACCATCGTGAGAAAAATCATCATTTGCAGCAGTTCATGTTCTACTTTTGGCTGTTACAGGGACTGACCATTTAACGGACGTTGAATAGGACAAGTATATATCTTTTTTTTCCAATTAAAATTGTATTAATTTCTGGGTGCTCCATGTTTTCTTTAACTGTAGAAACTGTTAAGTATAAGCATAATATGGGCAGTGTTGTACCTGAAGCAAGGTGACAGATGGACAGAGATGTTCTTGTGCCTCTTCTCAAAACGGTTGTACTTGCGGATGTAATGCAGGTAGTCACGTCTGATAACGATGGTCCTCTGCATCTTCATTTTGGTCACCACACCTGTTTGAGCACAAAAGGAAATATGGTTAGGATTGAATTTGATACATAATGCAATGAAGAATCCAATCAATGCCCATTTAATAGGATTGTCACTCTACTACATCAGTGTTGCCATAAGGCATTATCGTCAGTGCCTAGAAGGCTTGGAAGACCATCGTGAGAAAACATCATTTGTAGTTGTGACATGAAAACTCAATATACGGTTTGTGGCAAGTTGCCCTGTATAGACTGGTTCTTGCTTGGGTTGCTTCACCTGTACAAGGGCACGTTGATTTGCAGTCAGTGTAATACACACAGTATGCGGCTACACTTTGTAACCTGTGTATCACTGGATTTAAACTACATTTGCTAGCATTAAATGTGCAATGTGTTCTTGGTTGTACATCACATCTCCAGATTGAGTGTATGACACTGTAAAATACATTTTCTAGGACTCTGTATGTTCAGTTGTATATTGTATTGGGCTGTGATGTTTAATTGACAGCAAGTGATATGTTGCAGCACCCAAAGCCATTGCCAATTGACTTGTGCAAGTAGAGTGTCAAATGTTACATTTACCAGAGAGGATGCGGCCACGGATGGACACATTTCCAGTGAAGGGGCATTTCTTGTCAATGTAAGTGCCATCGATAGCCTGATGAAAAAAAAAAAAAATGGAACAGTCAATACCATTTATCACTATACATATTCCTTGGCTTAATTAAATCATTTTATCTTGAGACTGCATCAGCATTGCCATAAGGCATTATCGTCAGGACCCTAAAGGGCTAGGAAGACCATCGTGAGAAAAACATCATTTGCAGCTATCTAAGAAGTTAAGCTTAAAACTATATTTTATATTTTTTGGGACAATTCAAGTTACCTCTCTTGGTGTTTTGAAGCCCAAACCCACACTTTTGTGGTAGCGGGGGAGCTTCTCCTTGACTTCCTTGGCACCCTCAGCGACCAGAACACGCTTCTTGTTCTGGAAGATAGTGGGCTGTTTCTGATAAGCCCTCTCGGTCTGTGGAACAAGGAGAACAACAACTTAAAACTGGGATAAGCAGGAACAGGGAAGCATTGAGACAATACATTCAAACGCCACCACCCGGCCTTGCTAAATAGCCGACACAAGTTCAACATGTACTTCCTCCTAAGGGATAAAAGTCCCTTAACATTTAATACATATTATCAACATTGAGTAAAAACGGTTCCATATTGCCGTTTGCACTATATACAAAGCAATCGGTCGTTCATAAAGAATGTTAAGTTGTAGCAGGCTAAGCTAACCGAGTAGCATCGCGGCTAGTCCAACGTTGCACGAGGGTATGAAGAACAGCAACAACAAATGGCATTTCTTAAAGTCTAATTGTGGTTTAAAACGGCTCAAAACGTGTTTAAATGACTTGTAAACGCACATACTTAATGTAAACCGGTAAATGTGTTTAGTAAAACGTAAAAATATCGTTTTAAAGTCACCACGCCGTTTTCCTGAACGTACTTGTGCATCCGCCATCTTTGCCTGCCGAGTCGTAAAGAGGCCTAAAGATGCGCGCGACGGACTAAAGACCGCGACACACAGGAAGTGACGATTGAAAAGGCGAGGCTAACATTTTTTTTCGTATTGATCATACTTTAAAAATCACACTACAATCCATAGATAATTATATATTGCGTATGAACATATTGAAGAACTTAATTTCAAAAAATTAGACCTACCATTTAAATGATAATATCATGTATACAAACAAAAAAATTACACTGTATGAGAGAGATTTAGGCTACGTTTTACATTTTTCCTTTAAACGTTATTCATTTATTTTGAAGTATTCTTTCATTCATCGAGATGTCTTCTCAGACGTTTTGCTATTTAAGAAACCGAGTCAAATAGATAGTTAAGTAATCAAAGAACACAAACACTTAACCTGTCTTCACTGTCAAGAGTGACAACTTCATCTGCCTGGACTGGTAAGATTCCCAGCTCTGCATATCACCACATAAAGACTGCACTGATTCACAATGGAAACATATATTTATACCAAACGTTACACCTTAATAAAAAACACTAGTTCACAATAACATGTAATATTAATAATTATTTAGTTGGATATATGTCCTTTGACATTTTTCCATTTAACCTGGGAATGAAGTGAATATTAAATATCTATTTCTTATGTTCTATATTTCCATCTCCAAAATTCCCTGACAACATAACAATGCGTCACATGATTGTACGTAAGCGCCAGCGGTTGAAGTAAACACACAACAAGATGGCATCGCACCGGGGAGGAGGCGATAAAGGTAGCAGCTGGAAACAGCGATATTTTGTATAGAAACCTACTCTGACAGCGTCACCAACACCTTGGTAGACAAAGATAATCTCACATTTGAACAACTATCTATTAATTTGTTCTTGTGGTTTGTTTGCTTGTTATCAGAAACATTAGCTGAACTGAGGTTAGCAAGTCAGCTAACCTAAACGTTAGCAGTGCGTTAGCTTATGCTACCTACTATGCGTTGTATAGATACCGTTAGCTTGGTTAGCTGATAGCTGTTATAGAGTGAGTTAGCAAATATGTTTAAACAAAACCGAAACAAAGCTTTCAGAAGACACCGACAAAGTCAAGTTTATTGGTTTCATCGGTTCGTAGACTTAGTAGACCTCCAGTATTTCTTAGCCATAATATTGACTAACTTATTGACTTAACGTTAGCCTAATCAACTTAGCTAACAACTAAAAAACTGTGGACATGTATTGCTGGCTTTGTATACCGAACTCACAAGCTTAATAAAAGGCACAGGTGTATAAATTACTAACAAATGATTAACAAAAAATATATTTTCAAGTTTTGCTAATCTAAATAAACTCATAGTAAAGGGTGGCATCAGATTCAGGTTAAATTGATTACAAAAGTACTGTTTTACTAGCAAATGTTCTTCAATTTCTAGAATTTCTTCATAATATATGAGAAAACTGGTTGTAAAACACTATCAGCATTTGGATGATTTAACATTGACCTTTGTCTTTTCAGGCAATACTGCAGACCAGATAGTGGAAGTAGGAACTGTTTTGTTACAAGAGTAAGTATATACTTTACAGTTGGGCGTCTCATTATTAAACAAGGCACATTATAATTTCATACTTTATTTCTATCCGCTCTGTCTCTCCCTGTGTAGTTTCATCTACGAGCGAGTTCAGCGGCATGGAAATGGAAACACTGCAGTGACCAGGGCACAGCTGGGTGGAGGAGAGCTCGACCCTAAACACAAGAAGCTTGCCCAGTGCCTGCAGCAGATTGGCGATGAGCTGGATGGAAATGTAGAGCTTCAAAGGTGAGCTATCTTGTTGTGCTATTTGGAACTGATGAACAGAAATCATCAGAAAAGCGTTTGTTTACTAAAATGAATAATGATCTGTCGGATTTAGAGTAAACACCATCAAAAGTACTTTGTCACTAACACATGCACAGAGGTCTGTCTGTGCCCAGTTGAGATGTTGTATCTTGCCTCTTGCTTCCACTACATTTCAGAGGAGGAATAGAAAGTGGCAGAGGTCCAAAAATAAAATACACTCTTTGCTATATTGTCCATTACACAATATTAGCTTTCCCTAAAAAAAAGTCTGCAGAGTCTCTTGATTAGTTTTCTGTCTAATGCACTTGACTTCAGCACTTGTTTGCTCAGTATGGATTAAATGCATACAAACAGCGTAGCAGGGTGCTTTATGTTTGATGTGTTGAAGGCACAGTATGTGTCTTAAAAGTATCTCTGATGTCTTAATTTTTAAGGCAGGGGTGTCAAACTCAATTTCATCGTGGGCCACATTAGCACTATAGTTGCATTCAAAGGGCCGGTTGTAACTTTAAGACTGTATAAAAATATACATATTTAATATATATAAAATAATGTTTTATTTTACATTATTTTCTCTGCATTGGATTATTATCGGATAGGGTAATAATTTCATAATTAACTACGTCTGAAAGCAGAAGTCTGGGGCAAATAATTGCAAGTCTCTTCAGTGTGCATGTCAAAAAACTATTGCATTGTGGGACATGTAGTTTATGGACAATGTGCTCCTGTAAAGCGGCATGGAACCGTATAATAAACATATTTTATTCTTTCATAGTCTTGCGGGCCACATAAAATGAAGTCGATGGGCTGGATTTGCCCACGGGCCTTTAGGAGTTTTTTAACCGACCCTGGGTGCTAAGGAATGGACCTGTGTCGTATTTGCTTTGACAGAGTTTATTAAGGGCCAGAGCACTGGACGCTAGGACCCAAATCGGGCGTGCCTATGCACGATGTGTGAGGAACCTATTGTTATCCTAGGAATTCTTATTATGTATACTGGCTGATGTTTCCTGTTTTTGAGGGCTTTAGGAGCGGCTTCAAAAGTTGTATATTTTCAGCGGATTCCAGGATCGGTGAAAAATTCCACCATTCTGGAGTCAATGTTTTCAAATTCGTCCAAACATGCTCTCTTAAACACCACCCTATTGGCGCATTTCCATTTTTGGA